TATGCATTTGAAGGATATATTCAGGATGTCAGACTGCCACAGCAACGAAATCAAGGTAACACAGTGTGTGCAAATGAACAGTGTTTAGCTTCACCCGTGCCACTTCCAGCACCCAGACTGGCAGCTGGACTGTCTGAGGGCTGCGGAAGAAGTCAAACAACGTTCATCTGTGCACAATGCGTTGACACACAGCTGGTTGAATATTAAAAAGCAAAAGCAGCATATGTATACATTCAGTAGGCTATATCTTCAGCAGCTAGCTAACGTTGGCTAACCCTACACTTTTCAGGGTTTGATTTTGGAACAGGAAAGAAACGTATATCTTTTTCCAACCTCTCCAGGTAACGAGTATCATTAATACACAACATGCCCCAGGCACAACATTTAGCTCCAAATCCACAAAACCAGCCTGAAAATGAAGGAAATCTGAAACGACTGCATTAGAGTCAATAGAGCACAGCTGTGTTGTTGTCGGACCCTGGTCTGAGCCGGCCCGATGCTACGTTATGATTGGCCAGTCTGCGTGTCGGGGGGGGACTTAGCGAAGGGTCAATTGGACGTTTCTGTTTCCACTCCGATCCTATTTGGCCTGTGTGGACTAATGTTAACTGATTTTGATGCTCCTCAGTCTAAGGCCGTTGCTATGGCTTCCCCAGCAACGGAGCAGCAGTGATGCCTCAAGAAATAAACACCGCAGAATTTTGTTGATTGACCAGTCAGAATCAAGTATTTAAGAGTGCCATGTTCTAAATTACTTTAATCAACTGAGATAAAAAAAATGATTCCTAAAGCCTTGAATAATAACTTAACAAAAATCTTACCAAAAATTGTTCATCACAATCAAACCGGATTCATACAAAACAGAGACCTAAAAACCAATACCAGAGCATGCTTATCTTTAATACAATATGCAAAAAAGCACAAGAAAGATTTAACATTAATGGCAGTGGATGTGGAGAAAGCCTTTGACCGAATTGAATGGTCCTATCTGTATAAAGTATTAGAAGTCTTCGACTTTCCACTAAAATGATGATTTGATAAAAACATTATACAAGTCAGCAAAGGCACAAGTATTCACAAATGGAATTCTCTCAGAACCCTTTCCCTTAAGTGGAGGCACAGCTCAAGGATGCCCTTTATCACCCTCCTTGTTTGCACTTGCTATCGAACCTTTAGCACAAAAAATCAGACAGAAAATATAACTGGTATCACTATTGGTAAGAAGCAATATAAACTTAGTCTATTTCCTGATGATTTATTACTGTACTTAAATGATATAAACACCTCCATCCCATATGTAGTGGACATTATTACAGAGTTTTCAAAATTATCAGGCTATAAAATGAATGTAGGAAAAACAGAATTATTGATATTAGACAAAAGTATAAATAACTTGGAAAATGTAAAACAATTTAAAGTGCAAACAAAGAATATTAAATACCTTGGGTGCTATATCAGTGCAGAAAAATCACAGTTATATAAAGACAATTTTCTCCCATTAATTAAAGATTTTAAGCAAGACATTCAAAAGTGGAGATTAAGATTAATTTAATAGGAAGAATAAACCTTTTTAAAATGATGTGGCTGCCAAAATACCTATATATATTTCAAACAATACCCATTACCCCACCAAAATCCTTAGTGCTTTAAAGAAATAAATTCACTCCTCAGATTCAACTCCAAGAATTAAGAGAAAACTATTGTATTATCCTCGAGAAGAGGGAGGTCTGAATCTTCCGAACTTGGAATTTTATCATAGTGCAGCTCAAATGTTTTACATTGACTGTATAATTAATAATCGAAATGAAGAACCATGGATAGATATTGAAAATAATCAGTTACAGCCTAACAGTTTACTCTTAGCATTTTTCTCCAAACATAAAACTAAAATAGCAAATGTCATAATTAATAGTACATTAAATGCTTGGAAAAGGGTGACAAAAATACTTAATCAAGAAATAGAAATCCCCAAACAAATACAAATCTGGAGCAATCCATCAATAACTATTCAAAATAAAAAACTACAATGAGAGACGTGGATAACAGGCGGAATTCATAAACTATCGGATATTATGAATCATGACTCAGTACTTTAATTTCCTGAACTAAAGAATAAATATAAACTAAAAGACACTGAATTTTTCAAGCACTTGCAACTGAAAAATTGGATAACATGTCATTTTGATCTTGGGAATAAGGTCTCAACTGAGATAGGGGAGATTCTAAATAAAAGAGAAAAAAAAGACGATTAATAGGTGCTGTACATATTATTCTTATCAAAACTGAGAACAATGAAGAACTGCTACAAAATATATATAATAAATGGAATAAAGACCTTGGTATGGTAGATGCAAATAAAAAATGGAAGGAATGCCTACAACTCACATATAAAATCACCACTAATGAAAATTTATGCTTAATTCAGTACAAATTAATGACAAGAATACACTATAGTAGAGACAAAATTCATAAGTTCGATAGTAGCTCCTCAGATAGATGTTCAAAATGTGGCACCCAGAGTGACTCCCTCATCCATTCCTTCTGGTATTGCGAGGAAACTAGAAAGACATGGGATAATATTGAAAGATGGATTTCTATAACTTGTAACACCAAAGCTGTATTTTCACCAACGATTTGTATCGTCCAAAATGTGGAGAAAGTAAGGTATTCAACTGGCTGGCAGATTCTTTTTTCATCATTAGAAGCACCTACACTTCAAAAATGGGAAGCATTAATGAAATATTATTTGAGCTTTCAGAGGACAATGTCGGAGGACAGTAACAGAGAGAAACAATTTAACAAAATATGGAGCTCAGTTTATGAAGCTCTGTAGACTGAGGGAGGCTGCAGGATCACCACATCCAGCCTGCATGAATCAAGGGAACCCTGTGTCTGGTGTCAGTTCTTTCCTGTTCCTTGCCCTTGTGTGTCTATGTGTCTGTGTGTCTGTATGTCTGTGGCTGTGTGGGTGAGTGTGGGTGTCCGATAATTATGTATATGAGTATGTATGTATATGAGTAGGGATGAAGTGTTATCTGTAATGATGATTGCAAGTGACTGTATAGTTGCTAACTTGATTTCTTAAGATAAGTGATGATAAGTTAACATTGAAACATGGAATGTATTGGATGCATACCCTCACTCATTCAATAAAAATAATCATTAAAAAAAAAAGAAGTAAAGTAATCAAAATGTAACTTGCACTGACACTCAGTAAGTTACTCATTACATTTTAACAGGGTAGCTAGTAACTATATTGTGTCTCAGTCACCTCAGCAGGTGCCCCATGTACATAGGCTGAGTCCTTGCTGCAGTGGCTGCAGGTTCTTTTCCGACCTGCGGCCCCCTGCCGCATGCCATCCCTCCTATCCCCCCACTGTCCCATCAAATGAAGTCTAAAATGCGCAAAAAATTATCTTAAAAAAGGAAATGTCAAGAGACTTAATATCACTTAAAAGCAAATAGAATGAATGAATGAATGAATGAATGAATAAGTAAGAGGTTAGGAAGGATTTGTGACAGTACAACAGAGAAGCCAATCAGCAGATGTGGTCTTTGCTAGTGAAACTGAAGGCTTCTCACTCAGCAGTCCTCTGAAGTCTCAAATGCTGTTTTTTGTAGGTGTTTCAATAAACTTCTTCATTCAAATTTGTACCTGTGTCGAATAGGGGTGTGCCATATCATCTCGTTCACGATAATACCGGTATATTTTTTGATATCATGAAACATTCATATCATGATACTACGATATTTTGGCTTGTTGGCATATTGACGTCATACTGAGGTAAAAAAAAAGAGGAGCAGCTTCAGTAGTGTAATATATACTGTGCCGTCCTGAATGTTTTATGAACAGCCACAGGGAACAGCGTCTCCACCAGCAGCAGCACAGCGTCTCTCCCTCTCCTCTCTCGCCATGCGCACATGTAAGTCGGTGTAATCAAATAAGTAAACCTTTGGTAATGTAAACCTACATGCTGCTCATGGCTCAACAATAAACCATAAATATGTGAATGTGCAATAGTTATGGTAGCACAACAGCCTGTTACAGGTTACAGCGTGATGATTAAAGGAGAAATGGCAGAGCATAAAGGTCCAGATGGGAAAAAAAAAATCAATTCAATCATTTAGGATTTTGCTAAAAGAGAAGGAAATCACCTGTTGATTTATATATAGATCCCAGGGTACATTTTTTATATTTGGGAACTGTTTGAATGTGTAATCCATGGTAGATTTTATGTTGTTGAACTATTTATATTGTACACAGAATCTAAATCTCACTCTGAGTTATTGTTGTTTACAAATTTAAGAAATAAGAGATAATTTTTTTTAGTTTTTACTGAATACTTGAAGGCAAACTGTTTGGTTGACATAAAACTGTATCACGTGTTTTGTTGCAATTCTGTTTTCCTAAATAATATTTTTTATTAATATTTTTTACAGTTTTTTGTAGTATTTGTCATATCGTCAAGAACATCGTTATTGCAAAAATACCCTAAAATATTGTGATATTATTTTAGGGCCATATCCACCCTTAGTGTTGAAACATTCTTACTTCTATTTAGATCTGGGACTCCTGTCATTCTAGTTCTTTTGTAGAAGCAGAGATCTCTCTGCTCTCTACTACTCTCTGTTGCGAGAGTTATACCTTCTCATCCTAGTTCTGGTCCACATTCACATCCACATGAATACATCTGTATTCTAATCCAGGTTTTGTGAAATCCCTAAAGTCTAACAGTGTGTTGAATGCATTTCCTTCCTCATAATACCTTTTCAAAGTGGATTGTTTTCTTGCTTGACTTCCTTGCCTTTGTTGGCACATTGCTATGCTTCTTTGAATGTTACTGCTGCCAACAGTTGATCAAACAGCAAGCAAGCAAAGATAGTAGCTACACAGAAATGTGAGAAAGACAACTTGTGAGTTAAGGTTACAATAAGTAAGACATCAGAGAACCAGAATTTGTTTACTGATGTTTCTCTGCTTGTCTGTTTTCCTCCCACAGAGATCATCCATCAGTTCATTTTGGAACAGCAAAAGGGGAGTCGAGTGCCACTCTGCATTAACCCTCAATCAGCTGCATTTAAAAGCTTTATCAGGTAGGAGGCTCATTAACATCCAACAGTATGAAAAGTCTTAGACCTAAGCATTCTGTATGTGTTGATAAGAAAAGATACAATATGTAAATCAGACAGGTTCAGAGCTGTAGGAAGATGATGGAGCTAGGCTTGCAGTTTCCTTGCTTTTTGCTAAGCTAGGCCAAGGAGCCACATACCCTTTGCACATAAATTACATTGATAACAGTGTTTTCTGAATCCAGATAAAATGACAAATGAGTGTTGGAGTGAAAATCTCTGAACTCCTTTGAAAATTTTTTTCCTGCTGCTGCAAGTACATTTTAAAACTTCCAACATGTCAATCTCTAGTTACCAGTGTCCTAACTGCATGATCTAGTTGTTTTAAAGTTTTAAAACTTTAAAACCATTTCATTTTGATAATTGTATTTTCCCATATATTTGGAGAATTATTAGCCTCTCTTAAAACAAACTTTTAACATTTGATGAACATAACATAATCTCAACAAATGTCTAGAGCTAATAGACAAATTAATAGCTAATATTAACTTGAGCCACTTGTTGGCCTCTTTTTGAACAGTTCCACAGTGGCTCAGCCCTCTGAAATGCCCCCGTCTCCACTGGTGTGGGAATAGCTGCTGCAGTGTATCATCGTCTTTCCCAACTGACAAGCTGCTAAACTGGGAACAAGAACGCCTGTCAACATCTCCTTTCATCTACGTAGCACTTCACTGGAGAGCAGGACTCACAGGTCTGCTGTGTATATGCTGAAATTTGAAACAAATGAAGAGAAATCCACTGATCATGGCTTTATGGGAGTGAGTTAGAGGGGTTTGGTATGCAAATGAATGAGACTAATGCTCTGTAGACCAAATCTGAATGGTTTAAACTAATTCACCTAATTACTTCCTGGAAGATATCATTTAACAGTTATTGTACATTTGTTTTGCTATATATATTAATATACATTTGAAAAAAGATGTCTATTTTAACATTTCTGTAATACAAACTGATACATTTCCCATGCAATCAGGCTACTCTGCTTCTCACAGCCACCTTCTCCTCTGCACTGGTAAATTGAATCAGACTTTGCTTCATATTCAGACAATTGATTGTAATTGTGTTGGCAGGATTAACTGAAAGCTCCACATACCCTTGGGAACACTGATATTTAATTCATTAAAAATTAGTTATCACAGGCATGTACCCTTGTATCCTCCTGTACTCTTGCACGTTTGGTTTAGTTTTTACTTATGTAACAATTAGTTTGCCAAAGATCAGGAGCCTCATGTATAAATGATACAAAAATATTAAGATTGTGGGCAAAATTGCAAAGTTTGGAATTTATGAAGCATTACCTGTCTGCACATTTTTTACATTACACTTGTGTATCTGGATGGACATGGACATACCAGGCCACATTTTAGGGTTTCATTGTGTTTCAGACAAATTAGTTTGCTCAGTGTATCTGTTGTTGCTTGTTCCATAGGGCTTCACTTGAGGGTAGGGTGAAGAGTCTGCCATCACAGCGTCCACCTAAATGAATCACACTGCCTCCCTATCTCCAAAGCTTATACCTCTTCCTGTCATACAGCAAGTGAGTGGACTCTGGTCAATGGAGTGGGGAAAAAGTGTCCAGGCATACTACGAGTGACAACATTCAGGGAGCCAATTGAGCCCTGAGTGCGCTCTGACAATAGGTTGAAGGTGCACAAAACTTTGCCAAAATAGTCAGGGCAAGCGCTTTTTCTACAAACAAACATGTTGTTTAGCCTGTTGACTGACACATGGAGCAGGATAAAACGTCCTCATTGGGAAATACTGAAAAAATGTGATGTTCGCTCGCTTGCTCATTTACGACGCGTCCAGATAGGAAGAGGTGTTATGTGCTTCTTTGTTGTTATAACGTGAATTTCTTAGAAATGCTGGATACAGCCCACCTACGATTCAGCTGTAGGAAAGGTGTGGTTAGAGATTCAGCCACTGTTAGATGATATGACAGGTACTTTGTTTGAAGTACTTAAGTGTTTGCAATCTCTCTACACATTAGCCATTACAACTGTAGAAGAGGTTAAGCAGGCAGGGCTGTGTTCCTGTTTAAGCGTTCTTCTGCCAGTTGGGGGTCAAATGTGGATAGATTCAACTTAAACAGTAGCAACAGTGTTTAAACATATTAATTTCATTCATAATATGCATGATTACTTTTGACTCATATATGTACATGATGTCAGTATGGCAAAATGTAAGAGGCACATACCCACTTGAGGTCTTACCTGTTATTCTTTCTCCTTCTTACTTTTCATAGTTTGTCATCTCTTCATGGTGGAATCTTTCCATGTAGAATGCACATCTAATCAGTTCACAGTCAGCAAAGTCTCTGTCATTTACTTACACGCCCACAACATAGCACTTTTCTCTATTTATATAAAATATAATGGAGGTAAAAATAAACAAATTAATGGAATTAAACTAGATTGCAGCCTTGGATATATCAACTATTAATGGTTGTGGAGGAGGAGTATACACAAATCCACAAATGTTTGGCGTCGTAAAGAGGACATGCATACAGGGCTGTAATTACTGTTAGGTATATGTGAAGTTTTACATAGATGTATAATGTAGCCTACATGTATTAGAGTGAGTACAATTATGCATGTGTATGCTATTTTGCACGTGATTTCAGTGATGAATGTGTGCAGACGTTCATACATGAGGCCCCTCAATATTAGTTCAGAAATATTGTTTGTAATATTTAGTTGATCCTGTCCCAGTATGTAAAGCTTCCTCAGTCAGTGGTAGTGGAGAGGGTCAAGTATCCCCTGAAAAGGCCAACAGCAGTTTTATTTGTGTCTGGAGTCATGATGGGCATAGGTTAGCATACTGCTGCTGTACTAAATTGAAATTGAATCTGTTTGGGTTTGAATTGTGTTTTGTTGTTGAGATAATTGGGTCTTGATGATGAGGGTTTAAATGTTCACTTGCATGTCACATGAAAAACAACTGAATCTTCCTGTGAATAGGAAATAGGTTAAAAAGGGATTAAGGGATCAGACTAAAAGCTATCCTCGTACTACACCCTGCTACTAAACAAAACCACACAACTCATCTGACTTCATGAAGCTTACAGTCGCTTCCTCTACTGAGCAGCAGCAGAACAGGAAATTCTACAGTGCTACTCCTGCCTCTTTCTTGTATGCTGATATTCACTTTAATACTAGCGTATGGCTAAACAATCCTTTCGTTTCATGAATGATAAATGTGTGCTGTCCACTTGTGTGCCTCCTAACTTCACTGCATGGACAGTAAAGTAACTATTTATGCACTCATCCAAACAGAGCAAATTCCATCCCAAAGAGTAGGAAGATAAAGATTCAGGACTGTGGAAACTGCACTGAACTAAAAGATATCAGCTTTCCAGTGTTCCCCCATGACCTTTATTTGAATTGCTCACTGCACTTAAATGAAATTGAATGATAACCTCTACAGCCTGTTGGCCTTTCTAGTGTCAAAAAAAAATTGCTCAGTTTCACAATTGTTTTGTAGCATCTGATGTTTATTAAAACACTTTAAATAGTTACTCAACTCAACAGTTAGATTGTGGAGCGTAATGTTGGCTACTGGCCATGAGATGCTTTTATTGACAAGAATGGCCATGTCTCTGATCTGATTTGTGCAGGGAACCTGTGTTGCAATTTTCCCCTCCCTTCCTCCCTAAATACCCTATTTGGTTCTTAACTGTGACACAGTTTTCCAACAGCATTGGTGGGACAACCCCATGACTGAACAGTCACACTTACACAAGTCCACACTTCAGCCACATTATCTGAAGCACTTATTTGGACATCTACAAAATTATTCCTGTGTTTTTCCAAAGCTAGTGTTGGAAGTCATGAGACTAGCCATTTGGTTTCAAGCTACTTCCTACTTGGACCCACTGTGGTTACTGTGAAATGTACTCATGTACATTCCTGATGGCTCACTTTGGCTTTCACTTTTAGATTAGTGGTTAGTTAACTGGATTTAAATCAGGGTTTGTTTCAAACCTATGTGGTTGTATGGTTGGTCTTGTACTTGTTCGTCTTTGGACTGTAAGGACAAATCAGAAACTGTCATTGTGTTATCAAGACAATTTCAAAATTAAAAGAAAACATACCAAGGCAAAGAAGCAGTCTAATCAGCAATATCATTCTTTAAGGGTGTTTAGTCTTTGTTCTGTCTCAGCACATACTATTGAACAACCTTTTCCTCATGGATTGCATTCAAGATCCTAGAATGGAAACAAGTAGCATATGATTGATGTATAACTGATGGCATAGTCTCATCTATGTGGGTTTTTCTAAATGGCAATCCAGTGCTAAGGTGTGCTCCTATCCCTCATACATGTACACTGTCTCCAGAAAAAAAGAGCTTTGAAGTAAATTATTTAATATATTTTTAGAATTGCTTTTTATTCCTGTTCTTGATGTTCTATGGCATGCATTCTTCTCACACCTCAAAGTATGATTATGTATATATGTTAAATAGAGAGGCAAATTTAAAACACCAACCTGAAAAAACAGTGACACTGTATAGAAATTGTATTAGCCTACACATTTTTAAGGCTGTGAAGTTAATTTTATTTTTAAAACTTGCATACAAATGTATATATTTTCTTGATTTTTACCCTGCAACTGGGATGTGTAGAGGACAACAAATCAAATGATTCACAGAATCCACAGTCATGTTAACTGTATCTTGTGTGTACAGCAGAGTTGTAGATATATCAAAGGATAAGCCTTTCTTTGTTATTGTTGTTAATGATTTCATCACAGCAGCACTGTGGTAATATGTACATAAATGATTCACCATGTTAGTCTCTACCTCTTGAGCTCAATAACTTGGCTTTGTTTACCTCCACACCTTTCTGATTTCGTGTGGGGATGAATTGAAAACACTTGAATGTCCATTCAAGCTTTTATACTGATATACCCCCCCCCCCCCCCACACACACACACACACACACACACACACACACACACACACACCCATCTTTCCTGCACAAAGAATTCACATAAAATTTTGAATCATCAAATGTTTGTAATACGAAGTACTACCAATAGACTGTTAGTCAATTTTCACTCTTTGATAGGATAGAACCTTTTGGGCAGGGAGAGTTACTGCTTCCTCCACAGTGGCTGTGTTCAAAGCTTAGTGTCAACGGCTCCATTTAACTTTTCAAGTTTCAGTTTATTTTACTGAGAGTTACACCAGTGTTACAATGATTCTTTGCAGGAATCCAGCATTGAATCCACATATTGAATGTGAATCCCTTTGAATTGAGTTTAGATTTGCCTATTACCAGTAGCAAGTAATTAACTTAATGAATATCTTAAACGCAAACTAAAGCAAACAAACACATTTAACATTTTGAAAACACTTGTGCAGAAACACTGTCAATACAGAAAACATGCAAATTGAGAAACACTGCAAGTCCAACACAAGGGAAATTTACCAAGGACACAAAAAACCTTTTTTAATATTTTCATTGTCTGATTCTGATGTTATGGGAAATCTAAGTTACACACCTAGTGTAATGCCATATACACATTATTGCAGAAAACGTCTTTTGCTCCTGCTAATGTGCACTGCATGGAAGTTCAGATAAGTTTAATTTTGACCTCAACTGTTGATGTCTAAAAGCTGCTGCTGTGATTGCAGATTGAAAATATAGAAATATAAAAATATAAAAATACATACAGTAACAAAGAACAAATAACAGAACAGTTAAAACAGCAGCAAGGTAGGAACCAGTGTTAAGTATTAACTAGTCAGAGCAACTTGGTAGCCGAATGGTCACAGCGTATACGACGCTAGTGCAATCGGTTCAATTCCAATAGGGAAAACTTTGTTGCACGTCATACCCCGCCCTCTCTTGCCGTTTCCAGGCTGCCACTACAGTCTTCATCTGTCCAATAAAGGCAAAAATGCCCAAAAAAAATCTTATTTACGAAGTACCTTTTGCCAGTTAACTGTGCAGACTCCACCTCTTTCTCCTAGAATTCTGCACAGAGCAAAGCAGAATGTCAAACACGAGAGCCTTGGTTTATTGCCTGAATGTGAATACAACAGAAGGTTGTCGCCTGGAAACATCTATCACAGTTGATGTGTATGCTTTTCAGTGTTTCTCTGTTTGCTTGTATTTTCTGTATTTGCAGTGTGTCTTTATGCTACATATACCTTGCCAAATTGGTGAATTTGTTTTTTTTTTAATTTCCTTGCATTTATTAATTAATGTTTTTTCAAATCTTTTTTTAAAATTTTAAAGGTGTTATCATATATACTTGTCTCTTCGGTGTCAGTGCATTAAACTCCCTCAGCCACTATGTTATTAACCAAGTGACTAAGTAAGTAAACTTTTATTTATATAGCACCCTTCATAGTATGTGTACACAGAGTGCTTAACAGTACAAACAATAAAACCACAGTTCAGTGAGTCACAATAAATGTGCAACCGAAACATTCAAGAAAACATACACGCAAGGCACATGGCAATGCAAGGTCAGTGCATGTAGAAGCATGTAATAAAATACGTAAATAAAAAAAATAACAATTGAACATGATCACATGGCACTGCAAAGCCAGAGGAAATAAGGTAGACAAGCTGAGAGAACAACAGAAAGTGGCAGATAAAACAGTGGATACGGCCTAACACTCAAAAGCTAGTCTGTACGGGTGAGTCTTTAACTGACCCTTGAAACTATTTACTGACAGGGCAGATCTCAGACCCAATATGAAACTACCTGGATGTATCTCCAGCTCTAAGAGTGCATGATTGGCCTCACCCTGATGAGGCTCATAATTTGATTTCTGTTATATGGCCATAGTTTTACATAGAATATTATGACAAATAGCTGCACAGTGTCACTATGTTATTATTTATCTGTGTGGATTACCCCTTATCCATTCAGCAAGAACTATTCTGAAACAAAGGACATAATAGAAAAGAGACATACTGTAGGTGTCTATTGGAAACTGAATGGGAATTTTCTCAGGAATGAACACAGCTAGCAGTGGTACAAGTCACTCTCCCTCCCCACCACCTGTATGAACTCTGTGTAGATATAGATATAGTTTCTTATATGTTTTATTTTTTGTTGGAATGAAGTACTTGAATCAAATTATACTCATTTTGAAAAATTGTAGAGTAATAACTGACAAACTTGTGTGAGACTAATCACAGCTCATTAACTACTGGACTGTTTGGATTCATATAATTTGCTGTCCTATACAATGTTTGTATATTTGATGTTTCAATCAGATGCATTGTAATTTGAATAAAACTTGCAGTATATACAGTACATAGATGTATCTATTAAACTCTGCGTTCAAACACTGTAAATCAAAGTCAATGACTAGATATCAGCTGTCATTTTGGAAAATGTTAGGTTTACCCAAAAGGTTCCATCTGGAAAGTAATAGTGAAAAAAAATTAAATGTGACTTTTAAAGAATGCCAAACCTTGTTGTCCATACTTCCCTTGTAATTTAAAAAGCCATATTTTTTTACTAAAAAGCCTTATGCTTTTGGGATTTAGGAACTTGGGGAATGATGGCCAGACGCAAGACGGCCACTCTACCACCTGACGGCATCATTTGTGCGCATGAGATAAGTGTACGTACAGAGAGCCGGAAAAGCTATCATTATTATAATTCTTCTCATTATCATTATTATTATTTATTCTGCGTGGTTCAGCCGAGTTTGATCTGTTTTGAGTTTTTTTTGTTCGGTTTTTTGTAGATATCACATTAATTGCTTGCAGGCGCTGGGAAGGGTTCTTTTAACCACAGACTGTATAAAATAACGGACGCAGCTACCATGACATCACCCACTGCCTTTTTGAAACCTCAAGTAAGACATTTTGGCTGTCGATTTATAGACTATAGAGACGACTCGCAGATAGCATGTCACTCAAATAGGCCACACTCTTAATAAAGTGTAACTTTAAGCCTTCATGAAATTTAAACGGCTGAGTTATAGAAACTTTGCCCCCAAACAGTATTATGAATGGGGAAAGGGGCTATAAAGAATCAAGCTTTTTTTTGTACCAGGCTGTAAAGATGTTTATTTCTGCTTTAAAGTTTGGCATTTTAACATGGGGTTCTATGGGGATTAACTTGCTTCTGGAACCAGCCCCAAGTGTTCATTAGAGGAACTGCAGTTTTTGGCACTTCTGAGTTGGCTTCATTTTTTTTTTAACCCTGGAGGTTGCCACTTGTCTTCAACATGTAACTATCAACACTCGTGTTCTCTGGAGCATCTTAGGACTATACAGAAGGCCTTTACACTGGTGACTCTCTTTATAGCCATCTGACATCACATGGCAGATCCATTAGTAACATTTTGTACCACCAGCATTAGAGTCCTTATGTGCACAAAAAATGTGTCGTTTCTATGAATTGTTCTACCGTTGTACAACACAGTTTATTGTTCTTTTGTGTTGCTGCCAGTGTTGGGGATAACGGGCTACGCATCACCCCCAACACTGGTGGCAACACAAAAGAAACGTGCTCTAGTAATACATTACATTTTAGCAGTAACAAAGTAATATAACGTGTTATCAACACATTTACAATGTCACGTATTGGGATGGGAATCGAGAACCAGTTCTTGTTAAAGAGATAGTGCACCCAAAGATGAAATGGATCACTATGGACGAGCAGTATGGAGATATTTTGTGGCTTCAATTATGTGTTTTTGGACGTTTGAATCTGGGGCGCCATAAGCCTCCATTAGGTGGAGTTGTGTTACTACCCCCTCTCCCCTTGGATCTCCGCAAGGGATGTGAGGACTCTAAAACTTCACCTGAGCCTCCCTCGGCATATGGGTGAGTACATAATGGCTGAATTTATAATGGCTGAATTTTCATTTTTGGGCGCACTATCCCTTTAAGAACTGGTTCCAACTGGTTCAATTCATCGACATCATTAGCCTTTATGCTTAACGATTCCCTTATCGATTCTTTTCCTTACACCGAATCTTTACGTCAATGACGCGTGTCACGCTCGTCAGTCAGCAGCACGTTCAACAACAAAGAAGACTTAATGGCAGAGAGACAGAAGCGGTCGAAAGCGTGGCTTCACTTGAAAAAAAAAAAACTAACAGCGCAGCGTGCCATTAATGCTGCACCGTAATTACATGCAAGGGTGGAAACACCACCAACATGCTGAAGCATTTGTCGTAGCATGGCATTAAATATCAAGAGTGTCATGTGTTTGACAATCTCCAGTCAACGAGTGCAGCTGCAGGAAAGTCTCAGCAGAGCAGTGCCAGTGAAGGTACGTATGTCCTGTCCCATGTTAACGATAGCACAACGCATTCAATGACAGATTCTGTAATGTTATTTGACGTACATGAAAACAAACGCTGTACAAATATTGTTTCATTTGTTCCATTTTAGATGATAGCGGTGGACCGAGTATTTCTGCTGCCTGCAGTGTCGCTCCCCCAGCTCCACATCCCAGCCCCCCTCCCCCTCCCTTTAGCCAGCAAACCCCATTCACACTTGCTGCAAAGGGCATGTATGACAAAGATTTTAATCTATTTTTATTTATTTATATGTCCAGACATCTAGGATCCACTGACCAATTTCATATTTGTTTACTTACACAAGCA